ATCCATGATGATGTTAAACAATATAGGGCTTAGGCTGTCTCCTTGTCTAATTCCTGTGTTGACGGGTATTCTCCTTGTTGTTCTATTTTCTGCTTTCACGAGTGTGTGATTGCCGGTGTTTAGTTCTCTGATGATGGACACAATATTCTGATGAATTTTCCTTTCTTCTAGGAGTTTTATGATGTCTGTCAGTCTTACTTTATCAAATGCTTGGGTAAGATCTATGAAACACATGAACACCGGTTTGTTGATTTCAATAGCTTTTTCGGCTATTTGGCGGAGTATGAATATGGCATCTATAGTGGATCTATTGTGTCTGAAACCTTGCTGCTCCTCACATATTCCCGTGCTGGGAATATGTGAGGAGCAGCAAGGTTTCTTGTGTTTCTCTAAGATTTCTTGTGTAAGTTTATTAACGTGAAGTCCACATTGAGATCTTAAAAAAGAACAGTTTTGCAAATAAGCGAAGATGGCATGTCATACTTTACAAATTGCTTAATATCTCAAAACTTCGTTTTTGCAGATACGACTTCCTGTCTTAGCAGGGCACTATTGAGCTAGCTGGAGTTTGTTCCGGTAGATGTGTAATAATGTAGAATGATGATTTCCTAAGACAACTAATTTTTCAGGTTGCTCATTGGTTGGCATGTATCTGGTATTCAATTGGTCGCTCCGATGCAGACAACGGCGTCCAATACAGCTGGCTTTGGAAACTGGCCAACATCACCCAAAGTCCATATTCGTACGTTTGGCCTAATGACTCCAGGTATGAAACCCACTCAGCTAAATAGCGATGTAGCTAAATAGCGATGTAGCAGGGCCTGAAACCAACGGCCGTCGCTTTATAGCTATAGTGTTGACGCACATCCCGCAAATCCGGTTTTAGCATTCATGTTCTTGCTAACGTTCGACGATTAATTCGCTGGAAAACCGATCCGGTTTTCGGGCTTTTGGAAGTCGAACGGTTCGATATTGAGAAGCTCTATTGGGAAGAACTTAGATAATTAATAATGTTTTTCCTAGTTCTAGCATTGTAGGACGCATATAATAGGGGGCTACTATTTCAGCACTCCGGAACTGATTAATGGACCATCGCGGAAGACGATGTACGTTACGGCCTTGTACTTTACGATGACCTGCATGACTTCGGTTGGTTTCGGCAATGTGGCTGCCGAGACTGATAATGAAAGGATCTTCACTATCTGTATGATGATAATTGCAGGCAAGTTTTCTTTAATATGCAAATTCGATTTAAAAATCGCATTTATATGCAGGGTGTGCCGTGAGCACAGATACATTATTTGACTCAATAGAAGACTTTAGTTTTATTAAGAAAAAATGTCTGGCTCCACTGCTATTGAAGATCAAAGTTCTTTAAAAAATTTATGTAATGTTCTTTAAAAAACTTTTTATTTCGCAGCTGGAATCACCTACTAATTTTTTTTTCAGTTCATGCAATAAAATCTTGAAGCATTCATAGTTTTTGCACAAAAAATGATTTTTGTTTCCTTGCTATTTAACAATTTCACCCATCTTAGGCTCGGTCGGCTTTTGGAAGCGTTTGCGTCCGAATTGCGTTCATCAGAAATCTCACGAATAGAAACACCGAATTTTTAGCAAAATATGGCCCTTACGTAGGAACGAATCCATAGCAAGTTTCATTTAAAATCCATCTGATCGCTTTGTCGATATTACGAAAAACGTAATTAAAATTTTGTTAATGTAAAAAATTAATGAACGTATAAAATTGTCAGTTGCAAGAGAACAGAAATGTTTTTATTACAGTTCTTTCAGCTTCTGCTATGTTACTGTAGCATTTCCCCTGAACTAATCGCATATCAGCAAATTCGTGAAAGGAAATTCAAAGTAAGTCACAGTTTGACAAATTATTGTTATTATTGACAAGGGCTATCCACCTGTAACTATCTGTTAATGGCAAAAAACATCTTTTTGAATGCTTAAGTATTCCAATAGGCTGCCAATCCAACGTGGGATTTTTTCAAAATAATTCTTAATAACAAAGTTGAAATTCGATCTTCAACTGTTAATATCTTCTAGAAATTTTCGTAAATGAAAATTTCAATATTTTTCTGGTACTCCCCAAGGGAGCCTCTATCACCCCTTAAAAGGAATGACGCCAATTTTGAATCACCCTGTATACAGTGTCAAAAGGATACTGCGATATTCTTTGCATCAAAAGAAGATGATCCAAGCTTGTATTAACAAAAATTGTCTGGCTTCTCTTCTAATGATGGTCAAAGTTAAAAAAATATTATTATTATTATTATTAAAAAATTTATCTTTTTTGAAATATCAGGAGAATCGTACGATGTATTTTGGTGAAACTCGCTTTGAATTTGTTCTTATGTAAGACTTATATTTTGATGAAACAAGCGAGTTCAGCCGTTTTGGACAAGTGATGAATTCTTGAGTGTTCTGGTACAGAAACTACCAAAACTTTTTATTTGGTGGATGAAATCAACTCATTTTTTTTTGTTGATGCACTAATAATTTATTCACGATTTTGTGCTCTTTGTAAAATCTTGCAACATTCACAGTTATTGCAAAAAAAATATTTCTGTTTTCTTGCCACTTAACAATGTTAGACATTAACTGAAGACAGATCGTCTTCTTTTGATCCAAAGAATATCGCAGTACTCTTTTGATCATGTGCTTACCGGACACCCTGTATAAGATTTTACAAAAAGGACGAAAACGTCTAAAGAGGATTATTGCATCAACTAAAAAAAATCAGTTGATTCCAGCAACCAAATAGTTCCAAACTTCTGGTAGTTTTTGTACCAAGACCGTCAAGAATGCCTCACTTGCCCAAAGCCGATGGAACTCGGTTGCTTCATGAAAATGTGGGTCTTGCAAAGGAAAAAATTCACAGCAAGACTCATTTAAATACAGCGATTCATTCTCTCGATTTGACAACAAAACATGTTTCTTCTGAAGAACTTTGACCATCAGTAGCAGTGAAGCCAGACATTTTTTCTTAATAAAACTTCAGATTCAGAAAAGTCAGATCGTCTTCTTTTGAGAAAAAAACTGTCGCTGTACCCGTTTGATCATGTCCTTACGGGACACCCTGTATATTAACTAAATGTTGTCTCTACACTTAAGGCAGCTAAATAATAAAATCCATCTTCAATTCGACTGAAAAAATGAAAAGGACGAAAGATCCAGACCAAAAAACTTCCCTACGAGGCTGCTTGTGTCGATCGTTCCGGCAAATCGCATTTAACGGCGTCGCTGAGAATGGCCTACTAACCCAAAGAGCTGTCCAAGTTTAATAAATCATGCAGCTTTGCGATCCATCGTTTGCTTTGAGAATATCCCTGATCGTTCAATATCAACATATTTTTTTGCAATTCATATCTGCTACTTTATTATGTTAATAACCAGGCGAAGCCGATTTTTGATGTTCAGGACGTCGGGTCAATCGACAACGTCCATAGGTTGAGTGAATTCTGACGAAATTTACGGGACAAAATAAATTTCATTTACAGCGGCGCCAGGAAAACACTTGGAAGAATCGAAAAATCACCCTTATGATTTCTCTCAAATCCATTTCTTATGGCCGTCTGATTCCGGATTATGGTTAGCTGATTTACGAGTTATGAATATTGGCTCTATGGATTATTGCCCCTCCAGGGCTGCAGCTAATTTTCGTCGCTTTGTCATTTAGCGATACTCTGGGGGTAGATACGCTTTCACATGCCCATACTTTCGATCCTGAAAAGTATGGTTGTCGTGTCGAGACCCACCAAGAGGGTGATTTACGGTTCCATAATATTCCATTAACGGACCGAGTCAGTTTCATGTGGCTATTTTATTGCAGCTTTGCTGTATGCGACAATCTTCGGTCATGTTACCACGATAATTCAGCAGATGACATCGGCAACAGCAAAGTATCATGATATGCTTAACAACGTGAGGGAGTTTATGAAGTTGCATGAAGTGCCCAAAGCCCTTTCGGAACGTGTTATGGACTACGTGGTGTCCACCTGGGCTATGACTAAAGGTCTGGACCAAGACAAGGTAGCAGTTTAATTGGCAGATTATTTTTCCTTAACTCAAGTTGCTTGATTTCCAGGTGCTGAATTTTTGCCCGAAAGACATGAAAGCAGACATCTGCGTCCACCTCAACAGGAAAGTGTTCAACGAACATCCAGCTTTCCGGTTGGCGTCCGATGGATGTCTCAGAGCCTTAGCAATGCACTTCACAATGTCCCATTCAGCGCCCGGAGACTTGCTTTATCATACAGGCGAATCAATTGACTCGTTGTGCTTCATTGTAACCGGATCGTTGGAAGTGATACAAGACGATGAAGTTGTTGCTATTCTAGGCAGGTCAACTGGGATTTAATCTTAAAATTATTTACGATCGTTCAGAGTTTTGTATAATTAAGTAGTTGGTAATTGTTTTCCATTCCCAGGAAAGGGCGATGTCTTCGGAGATTCCTTCTGGAAAGACAACGCTGTAGGCCAATCGGCGGCCAACGTCCGCGCGCTTACTTACTGTGATCTGCATACTATTAAGAGAGACAAGCTGCTTGAAGTGCTAGACTTCTATCAAGCTTTTGCCAACAGCTTCGCCAGAAACTTAATTCTTACCTACAATCTCAGACATCGGCTCATATTCCGCAAAGTGGCCGATGTTAAGCGGGAGAAGGAGTTGGCTGAGCGCCGCAAGAACGAGCCGCAACTCGATCAGAACCAGGATCATTTGGTGAGTGAACAGGGTTTTTTGACGGTTTTTAATCCCGGTGCTTTGCAGGTGAGGAAGATTTTTTCAAAGTTCCGAAGGGATCGGAGTCAAGCAGCAGCTGCAGCCGCCAGCAGCCAAAGCGACGTTGAAAAGGGGAGTGAAGATGGAAGCGAAAAAATAACCAGGGTAGTTTCCACTACGAAACTGTCCTCAGTTGCGGAAAAAGACGACAGCAGTGGTGGCGGAGTAAAGACAACAGTTACCAGGCCTTGTTCAGGTAGCTTTTCCTAAATATGTTCGAATTTGTTTTAATGGCTGGGGTTTAGTGCGGGGCAGTAAATGGAGCAGGCTGCTGGGATCGGCGAGTTTGGATTCCGGCTCAGAATGCTCAAACCAAACGAGCGCAGCATTCCAAAGAAGTCTCAGCGCCAAAGATCCGAAAGATCGCCCAAGTTCCTCGTCGTCTGGCAGTTCAGGGAGTCAGCCAACTGCCGGGTCGGGCAATAAGATTTTTCCCAAGTTGCAAAAAGTTTCTGCGACTTCCAGTCCAGGTGCAAAACTTCTCGAATTGAAATTGCTAAGGAATCAATATTGGCTTTTCCAGCGATAACTCGACAAGATACTATTGACGAAATGGTGGAGGTCGATCAACCCCGAAATTTGTCTTTGAGGAAGATGCAGAGCTACGACTGCGGCTTGCGTGATCCCTCAACTGCATCAATGTATCAGACCGCCGTCCCAGACCCTCAAATTGCTCCAGTAGAATATAAAGAATTGTTGACAAATCTTATGGATTTTAAGGTAGAGTTCATGCTATAGCATAACCAACTATTTTACTACGGCTCTCATACAAACGCGAACTGTTTAACATTCCAGGTAGACGTTAAGCTGGAAATTCAGAAAATGAACCAAAAAATGAACAAAATGGAAGAGATGTTGAGCGAGATTCTCAAGCGACTGAATCCAGAAAGTGGTTCTAGCTCGCAATCGCCCAGTGATTCGGCGGACACGTTAAAGAAGTCTTCCACTAACGGAACACCTGTTGAAAGACCCACTGATTTCCTTCCAAAGGCGGGATGTTCGAGCGAAGGTACCGGTCTTGGTACCGTAATACTCAAAAAGCGCAGATCGAAAACTAGAATCAAAGGATCAGCTCCACAGGTAAAGGATTCTTCTGAGGCGTGTGTGGAAAATTTGAATTTTCGAATTGTTATAGATTCCAACTCCCACTAGTGGTAAAACTGTTACTCCCGATAGTTCGAGCCCAACGGAAACCAGGCTCCATCAAGAGCCTGTTCCAGCCCCGTCCTCGCGCAAGCCCAAGGAATTTCTTTAACGATTGCTGATCCCCTCCTTAAACTTAGGTCTCTTAGCTGTTGTTTAGCTGTTAAGTTTTTTTATATGAACAGTTTTTTTAATAATATTTAAGAAAGTGGATCCGCCCAACTAAAGACTCTTTGGCGACCAAGCCTTTAGATGCGCGGGTCTGCATTAAGTGCAATATATTTCTATTTCTACAAAACCAACAAAAAGAACTATTGTTAATTGTTTAACATTTACTCTATGCCTTTTAAGATATTCTAAATATAATTTAGATTTAAATTCATGCTGCGAGGTGAATCGCGGATTTATTCACGCCTGTGAAGCTTTATGCGAAAGGTGCTCTTTAATTTAACAATCTAACTTACTGGCTTTGTGTTCACATTTTCTCCTCACAAATCGAATGGGGTTTTTAAATGTGATGAGGGAAGTGGGCATTAGTGGTGTACTGCAATATGGGCTGTTTTTTATGTTGACCAGCAGTTCATTTGGTAATTTTCAAATGCAAAGCAATAGCTGCATCAGTCTTATCTAGTCATTTCCCGCTGTGGGTAACTTGGTAAACCTTAATCGCGTCTTGTAGTACTCTCTAAACCGTCACAACCCTTCTGTTGAACAATTGAAAGGAATATTAACGTAGTTCTAACCTAGCAGTAAGAAAGACAGAATTTTAAAGAAATATGAGCTAATTAGTCCATATTCTATCAGCCACTTTAACATTCCTGACCTATTCCGAGACACATGTAGATTCTTCAAGTCTAAAGTTAGATAATAAGGTTACAACTAGGTAAACCATGTAATAAAGCAAAGAAAGCAATTTTAGACGCATTTTAGTTAAGGATCTTTTCTACGAAACTATGTAAATTGGGTACGAATGTGAGGGTATTGAGTGGTGGCAGTAAGTTTTCACATTTCAGTTAAATAAGCGCGAATTTAGAGGCTGTCCCTACCTTTAAATAAATTTTACAAAATCCAGGGTTTATTGTTGTGTTATACCTTTTTTTCAAAGTAGCCTGACGTCTCTTTAATTCCTGTACTCGTTTGCAGAAAGGTTTTCATGTCAATTATGCGATTTAGAACTTTATCACACTACAATAAATCATGGATAATTCTAAATGGTTAATTTCGATAGGAAACTTGATATCTGTTATTTTGGTAGCAGTTTTTTGGTAGTGTGCCCCGGTGTCCAAGCATTTTTAATCAATTCGTGTTAGACTTTCAAAGCTTTTGTAGGTCATATACCAATTTTCTATACAAGAACCTTCCAAAAGCAGAAATCCAGTTTCCACTTCGATACCTGTACCTCAGAAATAACTGCAGTTTTAATGCGGTCTATTTCCAAATTTTTATCACTACTTGGGCGTTGGTCTTTGAAAAAATAAGAATAGTTACTAAAGAAAAATTTTGAAGTTTCATCCATAAGCAGCAATCGTAATTGTCCGTTTCGGTGGTTTCTGAGGTATACCGCTGTATATGTAAGAGATCTTGAGCGATAATTTCTTATGAGGTCTATTAAATTCAAACAATACGTTGTTGTAGTTGAACATGTTTGTAAAAATGCAAAATAAACAACTTTGAAATAAAACCGTGGTTTCAGCTGCAAAGTGAAACGTTTTCAATAACTTTCACCACCAACCTGAACTTGCTTTGTCTAATCTCATTAGATATCGTGAAACATTTTTCACGTTATAATAACAACAGCAGACATTTTCTGAAGAGCAAAAACATGTTGCCTAAATTCGTGCTACTAATTTTACGGCTTCTGTGTCCAATGCTCCCCCTAATTGGCCCCATATAGGTGACACCCAGGTGTGTTTTGTCCAAATAACGAGGCGCTAGATAATCGTTTGGCTTAGACGACATATGTACCCATATCACGTTCCTAAATTAGATGTATTCAAGCGACAACATAATTGATCAAGAGGATTTGGAAATAAAAAACGAGACGGACCAAAATTGGAGTTTTAAGAGTGCAACATTCACAGCAGTTTGAAAAAAATTACGATAAATTGTCATCATTTGCCCAACCATGCCTTAATCGAAACTTGAGGTTTCGAAATACACGAGGAAGAAAGTTAACTTAACGTTTCGCCGATACGAAAAAGTATTTTGCTTAAAAGTTGCTGGATTGCTTTGGAAGTTGTGGATTGATAGCAGAAAAATATTTGGAATGTTTGATTATAAGACTGTGGACGTTTTTACGTTTATCGTTTCGCCGAAGTTTGCAGGTAATAACTTTTACTCTGTATTGCTTAGAAATTTGTTTCACCACCGAAAAGCCGATCATTCATCATATGTTTTAGTTGAACTTCTGTATCATACTCCGTGTTCGAAAAAAATCGATTTAACCAAAAAGATTATAACTGAAAGTAGTCAAACCACAAACTGTTTTTTTAAATATATATTCTAAAGGTGGTAATAGTGCTGTAATAATACTATAATAGATAATAGTGCTGAACAACGTATTGTTCAACAAAAAGAAGATATTTTGAAAATAAATTTTAACCCCAATCTTCAGCACATTCACTCCCTTCTCGAATGGGAAAGTTCGTAATTATTGACTTCAAAACAAAAATATTGGAAATTTCTCGCCTGTCTACACACACGAGCTCCTTCTGTTCCACAAAAGTAAAATTCCATTACTATCGGGTAATTAAGGTTGAATTATAGTCCTGCCACCAAAAGCTTCTACCACTTTCCCTAACCCCTGCCACCCCGATACAGCATGCAGCTTCTTTTGAGCAGTAGAGATAAAGAATAAGTTGAAGAGGAGCCGTATAACTTTCTAAATCATTTAAGAGACCGAGCAATTGTGCCATGACAGAACAGAATGATTGACGAATTGTTTTGGCAATACTTTATTTATTGTTTTTCGGGTTAAACAAAGACGAAATAGTCACGGTGTGCGGAGTTTCTCTTCGTTGCTTTGAATTCAGGGCGGGAATCAGTCAAAGGAACAATAGAACCAAAAAAAACATATTAAGTGAAAGTACAGTTGGCAACACATAAAACTAGACGATGAATAATAAAAAAAATAGTCTAAATTGAACAATTACAATAATCACTATTGGCACATTTTAAAACCAGCAGACTTGATTTGCTGCTATTGCAATTAAATCCAAGAACACTGGGTTGAGAAGGATAAAAACTTTGATCTCGATTTGCCCTTAAACGAAAAGATTTTTCTAGTCGGGTGAAGAGCACTTGTTTGTCTAGAATACGCTCCATAAGTGGTGACGTCAGAAATTTGACAGATTCAGAGACTGTATCTAAACAAACTAAATTTGCATTGAGATTAGATACGAAGTTTC